AAGTGTTGTTGAATACAGCTTGAACCTATTGTTGAATAATAATCAGCAAATTTGTTGGCTATAAGACAATTATCGTTCACTAATTTATTATCAATATACAACTCTCGCGGATGATCATTTTGCATTCTTTTTCCTGTCAATTTGTGGACAGTCCTCCAAACTTGTTTCTGTTTATTCTGTATGGTATCGGTTTCCGTTATCTTGTTCTGATAAAATATTCTTTTTGCGTTTATGATATTACGCCTATGCTGAGATCTCTTTTCACGATAAAATTCTAATGATTCATCATTGCAGATATTTTTAGTTAACAAATACAGTTCCTTCAATTTCCTACCCTCAACTTTGATTTCATTTGTGATCCACTCATTTTTGTTAGTTTCCATTTCAATTCGGATACTTATACAAGGGCATGAGACATCTAAATAGTACATCAGAATATTGAAAAAAAATTCGTAGGCATTGTTGACATCCAGGTTATTTTGATAAATTATTTGATAGTCTTCTTTTCTCAATAATTCTGTTAAATGCATGAGGTTCTCGTTACATGTATCACGCCTAGTAGTAGTTTTATTTCGAGAATGATTTTTATGATGCTCCTCAATTTCTAGTATGAACATTAAACCATAATGATCACTCAAATCCATTTCTTCGACTTCTTCACGAAATAACAAGGTTTCTATATTGGTTGCAAAATAATCGATCTGAGAAATTGAAGTCACCCCGTTTCTATCAGTGAAAACTCTTGTAGGCTTTTCATTTTTGAAATAGTCTGTAACTTTCAAGTAAATCAATGAACAATTGTTTATCCTTCTCTTTCTGAGGACAATCTTTCAAGTTCAGATTGTCGATATTCATATCTCCACTTATAATAACATTTTTATATCGTCTAGTATATTGGCCTAAAATTTCAGAGAATCTGTTGATGAATAAATCTATTTGCCCACCTGGAGGCCTATAAATATTAATTAAACAATAATTTTCATTTTCAATAGAAAAAACAATTCCGCAATGTTCTATATGCATCTCGTCATTTCTGAATTTTTGAATTTTCAAGTCTCTATAAATTACATTTTTATTAATATATATCATTACACCGCCGTGAATGTGTTTTTCTCTATTGAAAAAGCTAGCAATTTTGAAATTACCTAATGCCATAGAATTAATACTAAGATTAGAGCACCAGGTTTCTGACAAACATAAAATATCAATATTTTTCGTCTCTGTAATAAGTTCTAACTCACTGAGCTTATTAGCTAAGGATCTAATATTCAGATGGAAAATATTGAAACGACTTGATTCACAAACCTTGATAGTTTTAGAATTCTGACTGGTTTCGAAAGGTTTTCCGAAACTGAAACCGCTTCACTAAAACTTTATTTGGCCAATGTGAAGATTCATAAAGGATGTCTTTGAGTTGAATACTTGCTCCAACTCTGAAAGACGAATACCTTCCAACACTGTTTAATTTTGTCACCTCGAAATCGTATTCTGGGGACTTCTTGACCAGGTAAGATCTGACTTTCTCGGCGGTTGCCTGCGGTTTACAACGGCCGACATACAGCCAAACCATCGGATCCGCCCCGGCAAAATCTTCGTCTGAATTTTGACTTGAATCTGACCCTACGATAGGTTTATTATTCACACTGCGACGTACTTGCTGACGTGTGGTCACTTCTTGGCGATCTTGAGTTTTTGTTGTTGGTTTTTTTCCTTTCTTTTTATAATGCACTTCTGTCCACTGCTGAGTGGATTCGTTTTTTGATGAGTAGTCATTCTGTTCAATGACTGTATTCCCTGACGAATTTGAAGCGAAAGAACTATCTAATAACTTCGGGTTATTTTCTGTGGATTCTTTCAAAAACTGGTCGTTACTGGAGTTACTCAACAATTTGATCAGTTCAATGTTGGTCTCTTTAATAGCCTGCATTTCGTTTTTGAGGACAGATATTTCTTCAACAAATACTCTTGTTTGTTTTTCGAGTTCCATGGTGATCATCTGTCTCATGAGAATAAGAAGAGTGTTATCTTGCTTATTTTCCATGTCGGTTTTTACCTCACCACTTCTCGTGTTCACCATTTCACTCGCTTTTGATTTAATTTAAAATGATATTTCGATACGGAGCACTACTCTACACACGCCTACACACACGCCTACACACGTCTACCGTCTACGAAAGAATTACTTAGAGGATTGGATACATGCGTCAAATATGACAATAAACAACGAAGGAAATACCCCGACATTCTCTAGGGGGGCACAAGTATCCTTTATAGATATTACCCTCTCTACGATGAATATTAGCAGGAGTCTTAGAAAATGGCGCGTCTCTATGGAAGACAGCTTCAGCCTCCATAGGCACATATTCTTCGAGATGGATAAGGAGAAACCGTCCTCTAAGAAGGAATGGCAGGAGAGGCCTTTTATACATCCAGGAGTGTTTGGTAATTCCCTACAGATCCCAGCTAGAGGAATCAGGGGAGCCAAAGACCTAGGTATCATAATCAAAAGAGCTCAGGCAGCGAGTCTAAGAAACCGGGACGGTAGGCCTGCGAAACCGCAGCCTACATGGTGGAATGAGGACATCGCGGAGCTGAGAGGCTGCTGCAACAGAGCTAGGAGACGTCTAACAAGAGCCAGGGGAAGAAATGTTGACGTAAATGAAATTGAAGAACTGGAGGCTAGATACAAGGAGGACAGGAGGAAGATGAGGGCAGCTATTAGGAAATCACAAAGGCAAAAATGGGATACGCTCTGTGGCAACCTTGAGGAGGACCCTTGGGGGCAGGGCTATCAAATAGTCATGGGCACTATGAAAAATCTGAGGACTCCATATGACCTGCATCAGAACATTAAGAATGACAGAATAAGGGAACTATTCCCAATGGATAACCATCCCACCCCATATGAACGAGCGCCCCAGGAGCCACCACCCCTCTTTACGATGCAAGAGCTGGTACAAGCCGCCGACAGAATAAAAACAAAGAAAACACCTGGACCAGACGGGATATTACCCGAGGCGGTCAAACTAGCGGTGAAAGTTAGCCCAGATAAGATACTTGACATGCTTAACGAGCTACTGAATAAAGGAGACTTCCCGGAAGAATGGAAGAAGGCGAACGTCGTTCTAATCCCCAAGGGTAATGTAGCGGAGCTAGGAAACAAGGTCAGGCCCATTAGTTTGATAGATGTTCCGGGTAAACTGTATGAGCAGCTTCTGAAAACAAGGTTAGAGGAGGAGTTAACGGCATTGAATGGAATCTCAGAGACGCAATTTGGGTTTCGACCCAAGAGATCTACGGTCCAGGCAGTGAAGCAGGTCCTCGCTAAGGCAAGTGACAGAAGCGAGGCGTGGGGCGCCCTCGTCCTGATTGATGTCAAGAACGCTTTTAACACCGCGAAGTGGGGCTTAATCAATAACAGACTGCAAAGACTCGGGGTCAGTGGATACCTAAGGAATGTGGTGGGAAGCTACCTGACAGATAGGCATATTAAATGCGGCACTCATGAACGGGAACTGACACAGGGGGTACCACAGGGGTCTATTATAGGCCCCACGCTTTGGAACGTGATATATGACGAAGTTCTCCGGATAACCCTGCCTGTAGGGTGTAGCACCACGGCATACGCGGATGACCTGGCCCTGGTGGTCCGGGCGGGAAAAAAGGAAGACCTGATTAGAAAGGCAAACGCAGCTCTTGTTCAGGTGGAAGGATGGATGACACTGAATGGACTAGAAACCGCGCCGGACAAGACAGAGGCAATTATTTTAAGGGGCCCGAGGAACAGGGAGGGTATTACTTTCACCTTTAATGGCACGATGGTTATACCTAAGAAGCATGTCAAATACCTAGGAGTGTGGCTAGATGATGGCCTCATCTATAATGAACATATCCGTAGGGTGTGCGAGAAAGCCGACAGACAGACCACGGCCCTCACAAAGCTCCTCCCAAATATGAGAGGTCCAACCAGTCTGAAGAGGAGACTACTATACGGAGTCGTTCAATCCGTCCTCCTCTACGCCGCCCCCGTGTGGATAAGAGTTATGGACGTGAAGAAGTACGCAAATATGATGAAGACAGCACAAAGAAAGATGCTACTTAGGGTTACATGCTCATACAGGACGGTATCATCCGAAGCCATATGTGTGGTAGCCGGAGTCCCCCCCATCGACCTTCTGGCCAGGGAGAGGGGACGTTTAGACGGGATAGGAGAGCTTTCGAATGAACGAAGAAATGCCGAAAGGGAGATAACTATGAGAGCCTGGCAGGACAGATGGAGCAGTAATACACAAAATGCGCAATGGACGAAGAGGATTATACCAAAGATTGCTGTATGGACAAACTGCAAACACAGGCAGGTGGACCACTTCTTCCTATCCCAGTTCCTTACTGGGCATGGGTCCTATAGACAATTTACAAATAGAATTGGTAAAGCAGATACTGACCTCTGCATCTATTGTCAGGCTCGGGATGACGCGGAGCATACCGTATTTAGATGCGACCGATGGCACAGGGAGAGGGAAGAGTTTTTGTTGGAGGCAGGCACGGCAGCTGACCCAGGGGAAATGATAGAATGGATGATTACTACAAGACAGGCTTGGGCAACGGCTTCCAATTTTATTAGAAATGTGATGAGGCAAAAGGAGGTGGAGGAGCGAGATTTCCAGAGAGAAGAGAGGCAGAGGCGGATGGATTAACAGACACGCCGCTTGTAATTGAGGTAATGCCGACAAGGCTGTTCCAATTACAAGAGAGGGCGAGGGGTGGTTTTAGCCGGTAGGAGTCCGGCACTATTGGCTCGCGATTGACACCAAGCGGCCAGTGCGCATGAAGCGTGTTAGGTTAGGTTAGGTTAGGTAAGGTTAGGTTAAGTTAGGTTAGGTTAGGTTAGGTTCGGTTAGATTAGGTTAGGTTAGGTTAGGTTAGGTTGAGGAAGGAGTATGAGAGGAACTTTCTGACCTCTCTGATTCTCCCTGAGGACGATCTCGAGGCTTATTGAGCTCAGGAGAGAGAGAGGTCAGTGAGGGATATAGTCTCCAAAAGAAAAAGGTCGAAGGATAGCCCCAAGCAAAGCAAGAAAGCCAAAGACGAAGGAGGAACAGCGGCTCTGAAGGCTGCAGTGTTGCGGCTGGTCAGGAAAAGTAGAGCGCTAGTGGAGCTTGCCAGGGACTCAGCAGGTATGGATGCCGAGATGAAATCGGCAATATTCGATATTAGTGAGGTATCGGATACCATAACGAAAGAACTAGGGGAGTACGAGCAGCGGACTGAGAAGGAGGAAAGGGAGCGGGAAAGGGAGAAGGTAGTGTCCGAGGAGGATCTCGTGAGTTCCGAGAAACTAAAAGGACGGCTGGACCAGGATTGGCCAGAAGAATTTTACAGGGCCACCAAGGTTGAAGTTGGCAGTTTAGCTAAGGCCTGTGATCGAGGGGATACAGCAATCCTGGTAGGATCCCAGGGTATGGAGGAGAAGTACCTCAAAGTGGTTAAGGAGAGGTTCCCTGTGACGGCGGAACTGGCGAGGGAATGCAGAGCGGGGAAAATTGAATACCTGCTTGACGACAATAAAATCAGGACGAGTAGAGGTAACGACAGCGAGAACTCCCGGTATATCTTCCTGGTGCCGACGAGGCAGGACCCAGGCTTGAATCTGGAGCAGTTATACGAGGTCACGTCCAAGCTCAGGGAGCTTGCCGCGAACAGGGCAAGGGGCGAAATTCGCACAGTGATACCACCAGGTTGGAACAAGGACTGCGTCAGGAAAGTGCTGGAGTCTGTGTTCAGATCCTCTGCCACGAAGATTGTCATCCTCACTTCCGCCTCACAGCCAGCGGGGAGTAGGGAGAAAACAGGCACAATAACGGTCCGGGGGGAAGGGAAATCCTACGCCGAATTGGTCAAGAGATTGGACCTGGCGGCTGTCGGGAACTCTTTGGAGCTACTCCAGAACAGCATCGGAGACATCGAGGGGCTCTCCAAAGCCATAAGGAACGCGCAGGAGGCATGCACGGCACGCAACGCGAATGGAATGGTTAGGGAGCAACCGGTATGGTGGAACGGCACTATACAGGAGTTCAGACAAGCCTGCAACCAAACCAGAAGGGCACTCACCAGGATGAGAAGCCGGGCAAACGCAAGGCCGGACCAGCTGGAGACTAAAGAGGAGGAGTACAGGAATGCCAGGAAGAGGTTGAAAAAAGAAATAGTTAAGGCGCAAAGGGAGGAGTGGAGGAAGCTCTGCGACAAACTGGAGAATGACCCGTGGGGCCAGGGGTACCAGATAGTCGTCAGGGATATTAAGGGCTTCAGGTCTCCATATGAGATGGATAGAGCTCGCAGGGAGGAGATAATGGCCGAACTTTTCCCAGGCACGGCCATGATAGATGCTGAAGACCACGTGGGCACAACAAATGAGCCTCTGACCCTGTTCACAATAGAGGAACTGAAAATTGCTGCGGAGAAGCTTAGGACCAGAAGATCGCCTGGGCCGGACGGGATTCTGCCTGAAGCAGTAAAGTGCGTGCTAGCAGCTATACCGGGAAAGGTCCTTGAAATTATGAACAGCTTGCTCACGAATGGTATCTTTCCGGAGCAATGGAAGGAGGGTAAAGTGATCTTGATCCCTAAGGGATACCCAAGGAAGGAGGAGAAGTTCAGGCCCATATGTCTACTTGACGGGTTGGGCAAGGTGTATGAGTACCTACTGAAGGCCAGGTTGGAGAAGGAGTTGGATGAGAAATCAGCCATCGCCGACACTCAGTTCGGTTTTAGATCCGGAAGATCCACAGTTGGGGCAGTGGGATATCTTCTCAATGAGGCCAACAGGGGACGGAGGACCTGGGCAGCCGCCATCATGGTCGACGTGAAGAACGCATTTGACACGGCCAAGTGGCACCTGATCGTTCAAGAGCTCAGGCGGATTAAGATTAGTCATCTTCTGCGTCTGGTGTTGGAGGACTACTTGGAGGGTAGAAGGCTAATCTCCGGCAGGGAACGTACCGGCCTAACACAGGGAGTACCGCAGGGGTCTGTACTCGGACCCACCCTGTGGAACATACTGTATAATGGTATCCTAAAGGTGAGACTCCCAGCAGAATGTGTCACGGTGGCTTACGCGGATGACCTGGCCCTCGTGGTGACAGCCCGAAAGAAGGAGGAACTGGTGCGGAAGGCAAACCAGGGACTGGCTGCCATCAGCAGGTGGACGGAGGACCACGGTTTGGAGATCGCTCCTCAGAAAACAGAGGCCATAATCATCAGAGGACCCAGGAAACGAGACGGAATCCGTTTCGACATGGCAGGAGCAGAGGTCACTCCCAAGAAATTTGTTAAATATCTGGGTGTATGGCTTGACGACAAGCAGATATTTAACCAGCATACGAGGCAAACATGTGAAAAGGCGAATAGGCAAGTGACGGCGCTCACAAAGGTCTTACCAAACACAAGGGGTCCTAGCTACTTCAAGAGAAGGGTCCTGTACGGAGTAGTGCAGTCAGTGTTGCTCTACGCTGCTCCTGTATGGGGGCAAGTGATGAGGGTAGCAAGATACCGGAGTTTGATACTGGCCACACAAAGGAGGATGCTGCTTAGGGTGGCGATGGCGTACCGGACTGTGTCGGGGCTAGCTATAAACGCCATAACTGCGGTACCACCAATTGACCTCCTGATAGAGGAGAGGATGAGAGTAGCTGAGATCCGGAGTCCTACACAAGAGGAGAAAACAGTCGAGCAGGGCAGGACAATGAGACGCTGGCAGGAAGTCTGGGAGCAGAATACCACAACGGCTCAGTGGACCAAACGCCTGATTCCGGATCTGGAGCTTTGGACACAGTGCAAGCATAGGTCTCTGAACTATTACTTCACGCAAGCCCTAAGTGGACACGGAGCTTTCAGGACCTATACGCATAAAATCGGAAAAGCCCAGGACACGGCGTGCATGTACTGCGGGGAAAGAGACGATCCAAACCATACGCTCTTCGAATGTGTCAGGTGGACCAGGGAGCGACAGGTCGTAGAAACTGAGCTTGAAATGGTTCCTGACGCCGATCATATCATCGGTGTCATGATCTCTGACCCGAGGAAATGAAAAGCAGGTTTCACCTTCATGAGCAGGGTCATGGAACGAAAAGAAAGGGAGGAGCAAGATATGCAGGCCGGGGACAGGCCCTAGGGGCCTCGGAATCAAACTGTGATAAAGGAGCTGTGATAGACGTGAGGTGACAGTGGAGATGTGATAGTGAGGATGTGATATATGTGTTGAGTAAGAGTTTGTGGCGTAGATGTGCCTGTGTATAGATGTTTCACAAAGTAGTCTCGTGATATGAGTGTTAGGTAGTTTAGTTGAGATTAGTGAGTAATTATAGTGCTTGTGCTGTAGTAGTGTATATGTATATAACTATATATTTTACTGTTTCACAACCACAGACCTGTGATACCCGAGCAGGACGGAAGCCAGTTACATGTGACAGGACCACCGTACCGTACTAAGGAATTAGGACACCGCTACCCGCGTCTGATGTTATGTCGAGAAGACAATCCCAGACACGGGTGACGGTAGGAGGGGGTTTTAGTCGGAGTAGCGCCCGACACTATCAGAGCCGATAGACAGCAAGGCTCTGGTGCCAAGCGGTTTCCCCCTTCTGAAAGAACAAAAAAAAAAGGTTAGGTTAGGTTAGGTTAGGTTAAAAAAAAAGGTTAGGTTAGGTTAGGTTAGGTTAGGTTAGGTTAGGTTCCCGGGGGGGACACCTGAAACCCCTACCGGGCGCGTCCCCAGGTGGCGGATAGGGGAATGCCCTAACCGGCTTGCCGGTGGGTAGGTGCGAAATGAAATAGCACCCGCGGACCAACAGGATGGCAGGAAAACAATAAATAATGAAATGGCGGATTTAAAAGAATTAGAATAGAATAGATAACGCACATATAGAAACAGAGAAGGAAAAAAAGGGGAGAAGACCCTCGATAAAGACCATAGACCTTACATGGGATGAAGGGAGGAGAAAATCGATAAGTCATGAGGAGGGAGAAGAGATGAGAAAAGACAGGGAAGAAAGACTCAAGAGAATGGGTAGGTGTAACTCATTCAGGAGTGAAAAAAGGAAATTCACGGACACGTTCTTCAGAGGAGGAGAGGAAGCGAATATATACAAGAAGAAAGAAAGCTCGGAATACTACGTCCTGAAGGAAACCCTGAGCATGATCTCAAAAATCAGCAAGGAGTTTGAAGCACACATAGAACAAAATACAAAACGGGAAATAAAGGAACTAACAAGAAAACTGGCAAAGCAAGTTCGAACGATGAAGGCGAGTCACATTGCTGACTGGCTGGAGCAAAAGAAGTACGAGAAGGTAGAAAAGATGCTCGTAGAAGCTGATACCCAGACGAGCCCAGGGGCAAACAGGAGCCAGACAAAACGGAGCGGGCAGGATGAACATGGGAACTATGAGGATCAGGGACAGCAGGAGGTAGAAATGGAAGCAGGCAAGAAGAACAAAGTCACACCAGGAAGAATACCAAGGATATGTCCAACCTGTGGAACAAAAAGAGGCAGTATAAGAGAAGACATCTGCAACACGTAGGAAGATATCAACTCGTATGAAGAATGGAAAGAAATAGCTGACGAGAAATGGGATGACAAACTATATACTAACACTGAAACAAAGGTTGGAAACCCAATGGATACCAAGACATCAACGGTGAAAGTCGTCCTAGTCGAACCTGGAGACGAGAACATGGAAAGGAGCATCCAGCAGTTATTCTTAGAAAGATTCCCAGAACTCATAGAAACAAAGGAAGACTTTGCAGTTCTGGAACAAAGCTCCAAATGGAAGGATCACAATATCACTACAACCCAGAAAATAGTGAAAATGGAACATCGGAATGAGGAAGAGAAACTATGGAATGGATTAGTGAAACTGAGAGAAGAAACTCAGCATGACGAGTGGGTGGCAATCCACCATGTGGAGAAATATAGTAATGAATACCTCCGAAAAATGGCAGAGGCAATTTTCCACGGAGGAATGACTCAAGTGAGGATATATACCAATAGAAGACACCATAATAACGAAGGAAACCAAAGGAGCCATGCGAGACTTCCTGCCCTGATCATAGAACAAGAAGGAAATAAATACGAAGAGGTGATGAAAACAATCAAAGAAAAACTGAAAGATAATGAAGCTAGGAAATTTATCAAAAATATAAGAAAAACGAAACAGGACAAGGTTTTGATCACAATGGATGACAATAAAGCAGAGATGGAAAAAATAAAAAAGGCGATAGAAGAAAATAAGGGCACCATGAAGATCAGGATGACTGGAAGAGACCTAGAATCCATATATATCAGAGGACTGGATATAACGGTCACAAAGAAAGAAGTGATTGAGGAGATAAGGAACCAAGTGGGCGACCTTAGGGAAGAGGAAATAACAGCAAGTGAACTTAGACCCAATGCTGGAAACACCCAGGCAATCACGGTTACTTTAGATAGATCAAAAGCAGAAGTGTTACTTGAACAATCATTTATAAGGGTTGGACTATCAAGGGCCAAAATGGAGAAGAGATTGAAGATACCTCGGTGCAATAGATGCTGGGCATATGACCATGGACAAGATGACTGCAAAGGACCAGACAGAAGAAAACTATGCTTCAAATGCGGGAAAGAAGGACACAATGAGAAGAAATGTGACCAGAACACGACGTCTTGTCCTGTATGTCAAGAGGAGGGACACAAGGTAGGGACAA